AACAAGCAAGATAATCAAAACATCTAGGAATATATAAAGAATAAAAAATTTAAATAAATAAAATATACATATATGTATCAGTACCTATCAATGAATCGTCCCTTAATAGCATTTCTTAACAACATCTTAATCTTAATAAACAACATTAAAATTCCCAGCAAAATTGATTTTAAATAAAAGGGCAGTAGATTAGAAACATCTTAAAACATCAATGAAAAAATTTAAATTTCATGGTTTACTTCCAGGACCAATGTAACTTATTATGAATAATACTGCATCTTAGGAAACCTCTCAACTGAACTAGGCCAATCACTGAAAATATCTAGACAATAGAATATTTACATATTTCTTAGATGTAAATATTTTAATATTTTAAAATAGAAGCACAGTTACCTAAATGTGCAGCTGATGACATCTTTGGACAACTTGGTGAGTAATAGATAAGTTGGATGAACAGAACCAGAAGATCTGTAAGGGATACTGAATCTTCAAAAAGAAACAGAAAATAATTATTTTGTAGCATAGACTTACAACTTAAAAAAAAATTTAACTGAGCTTCCTATTCTGAGTTTTCACACAGCCTGTGGTATAATCAGGGAGAAGGGGGCTATAATCCAAGAAAGAAGACTCCAGAAGAACAAATTAAACATAGTAAATTAAAAGACGGCAAGTAATGCAGTAGTTTCTTTAGTGACAGTGAAGTTTTGCTATTTATGTTGGACAAATCAGTTAATATAAACGTACCATAGGAAGATCTACCAATCTGATAGGACTGTTTTATTTTATTCAATTAGGAGCAATAGAATTCAGCTCAATGTGTTGGTCCAGCTAACTTATCTAAATAACACTGTAGAATGGAGGTCAGAAAACATTTTTTGAAACAGATAGTAACTATTTTAGACTTTGTGGTCAAATAGTATCTCATAAATAATTCTGATCTTGACAATATGTAAGTGAACAATTGTGGCCATTTTCCAATAAGACTTTACGTATACCACATTTGGTATTTACATATTTTTCTCATGTCACAAAATATTCTGTTTTTTTTTGTTTTTTTTTTTTTTTAAATATATTTTTATTGATTTTTTACAGAGAGGAAGGGAGAGAGATAGAGAGTTAGAAACATCGATGAGAGAGAAACATCGATCAGCTGCCTCCTGCACATCTCCTACTGGGGATGTGCCCGCAACCCAGGTACATGCCCTTGACCGGAATCGAACCTGGGACCTTTCAGTCCGCAGGCCGACGCTCTATCCACTGAACCAAACCGGTTAGGGCAAATATTCTGTTTATTCTTTGCAATATACTATTAAATGGCAGCTCTTCTCTTCAAAGTCAGTTCTCTACTGAGTGCCCATTATGCCTAGAATTATACTACCACAGGAAATAAAAGAGCAATATGTAAAATTGTTTTTTCAAGGAGGTCACAATCAGCCTAAAAAGATTTAGGTAAGTAAAACAAGGAAACAGTACAAAAATATGTTCAAAATGAAGATACACTAACAAGATTGGCAAACTCTAACCACTATGGTCTAATTTTCTTAAAAGCTAGAAGTGGTTTTTTTTTTAATTTTTAAAGATATGTAAAATGTGTCAGATGTCCCCAAAACCATGGCCAGATTAAATGATTTATTAGGGGGAGTCACAAGATTCAAAATATAACTGTATTCCTAGCTATGATTTTTTACAACAAAAGGATACAAAGCAAAATCAAAAGAGAAAACGTGCATAAAGTGAGTCCGGAAGAAACCAGGTACAAGGGTCGAAGGGACCTCTCCCAGTGAAATCCACAGAGTACACTCCATTCTTCCAGCAACGAGTGTGATCACACACATAAAATGCTGTCCACCAGGGAAGCTTATTAGAGACTCAGTGAGCAAGGTGTTTATTGGGAGTTAATCACCCAGCATCCTCTGCCTAGTTAGTACATACCAGGGCTCCAGACACCCAGAAGGCAGGCAGATATTCGGCATAAACCACACTGTGTACACAAACAGTGAACCAGTTCTGGGAATAGTGAGATTTCCAAGTTCCCAGTTGCCAGTCAAGGTCCAACCTTGCAAGAGGTTTTTCTAAGGATAGCAATCTTGAGCCAGCTATGTGTATATACACAGACACGCACACGCGCGCGCACACACACACACACAGAATACACAACACAGACAATATGTGGCCCACAAAACCTAAAATATTTACTGCTGGAGGCTAAGTCCAGCGGGTCATAATAAATGGGAGAAGTCCTCAAAAGGTTGAATGGACATATTCAGCAGGGCTGAAAATCTGCATATTGTTACCTGCTGCTGGAACAGCCAAAGGCATTTCCCCCAACCTGATCATCTTTTCCTGTTTATCTGCTGCTGGAAGGCATTTCCCCCAACCTGATCATCTTTTCCTGTTTACCAAATCTTACCTGTGATATGCCTGTTTGCATTCCTAAAGGGCCAATGTGTTTTCCAGTAAATAAAAAGGATATGGGTCCGGAGATTCAGAGAGTTCAGTCACTAGAGCTGAGTGTCCCCTGGCTCCCCCAAAATGCCTTTCAAATTTATAATTCTTGTCTAGTTTATTCATTCATATGCAGCCCTTCTCCAGATTCCTGAACCCTTGCAGCAGAAAGACTGCGGCAATTTACTATCTGGTATGCTACAGAAAAAGTTTGCTGATCTTTATACTATATTCCTAGTACAGACTTAAAGTTTTAAGGGAGGTACAGAAGATAATGAATAGCATGTGCTGAAGTTTGATGGGGAAAACGTTAAAAATGGGAATTAGGGAAACAATAACATAGTAAAATATCAAGTGATGCAAGGCTTTGCAGTTTATAAAACAGTGCTCTCAAACCTCACGTTTTTTATCACAAAAATTCTGTGAGCCCAGCCACACGGACATCATTATTCAATTATTCCCAATAAAGAAAATGAAGCTACAGTTAAGTGATTAGCCCAAAAGATCACCGCCAGTTTCTAGGGAACCAGAACTTAAAATGATAATGTAGATTAGTTCTAAATTCATCTTCTAATTCTAAATCCAGAACTGGGTAGCACACTTAGTATGTGAAGGATTTTGAAAGACAGGAAGAAATAAGGTAAGCGTGAAAGGATGAATAGAAAAAAAAAAGAAAAGAAAAACCTACACATGAAAGAAAAAGTACATACTGGAAAAGAACAGAAATGTAAAAGGTATGCTGCTAAGTACCATAGAAGAGACCATATGCCATCTCCAAGTTCTAATGATCCACAGTACATTAATCTTACCATATATGGGCATACTCATTTATCCTGATTGTACATACCTTTTCTATTCCTCAGCTTTATGGGAAAAAGCTTTCTGCCATGTGTATAGATCAATAATCTTCCCAAAAGGCACAAAGAGTGGATGAAATAAATATATTGTAATTCTTGCCCTGAGTAGTAGAAAGTTTTCTGTTTGTTCCCTTAAGAGAGAAGCAAACAATTACATTTATTTTAATGCCATTATGTTTTATAGTACCTGTCATCATTCCCTTCTAAACATTAAAGTTTGCAGTCTATAATGTAGACACTTGGTATAAATTTCAAAAAATCACTCTTTTCTTTCTTCATTTAAATTCTTTATTGTTGAAAGTATTACATATGTCTCCTTTTTCCCCCATTAACCTCTCCCTGGCCACTCCCCCCCTCCCCCCAGCAAATGCCCTCCCCCACTACTGTCTGTATTCATCGGTTATGCATCTGCATGCATACAAGTCCTTTGGTTGTAAAATATAATTTTCTTGCTGTTTCTTAAGATCCCTTGACACCAAACTCTCTGGAGAAAAGCATTCCTATAAAACTTAACAATCTCAGAAAAGTGCAATATACATAGAGTGTTCATTCTAAAACAAACAAAGAAAAAAAGCCGAAGTTTGTCAGACTTATGTCATCAAGAAAGACTTCAAGAATAAGTTAAAGGAGGGAAGAAATCAATAGAAAACATCAGTTAGTGTTTAATTCTACCAATAGTCAATGCTACAGAAGTTCCTATTATAACCTTGCTAGCAAATGAAACGAGTCTCTGAAATACAGAAACCCTCTAATATATTTATTATTCGTTCACCCATACACTTAAGATCTACTGAGTACCTTTTTTATACAAGATCTTGAACTATTTGCTGGTGTCAAAAACCATTAAGAAGCATTAAACTGGGCTTCCAATTCAGAGTACAGCAAGTTCGTAGTCTGGAATAGCCAGAGAATAAGGAGGACAAGTGGGAAAGACAAGAGGATAGCAGGTACCAGGGCAAAGCACAGAAGATTTAACTGCAGAAGCAACAGAGGCCTTATTGAGAGGCAACTGGGATGATACGAAAGGGTTTTAAGCAGAAAAGTATCAAATATGCATGTGAAAAACTGACTCTGATGGCAACATAAAAGGTAAATAGAAGAAGGCCAAGGCTTGAAATAAGATTCATCCAAAAAAAAAATCATGAACAAAAGCATCAGCAAGAAGAATGGAGAAGAGCAGGTAGATAAAAATAAATGTTTAAGAAAAGAAAATCAATATGCCTTAGAGCGGACTGTATGTGAAATATTAAAGAATAAAAAAATGTTCAAGTTCCTAACTCAAATATCTGTGTACGTGGTGAATTTGTCTTCTACTGAAGTAATTCTAAAGGGGGAGAATAAAAACAGGTCTAAAAAGAGAAAAAAGTTATTTCAGTCCTCAATATTTTAATATTGGAAGCCAATGGAGCATCCAGGTCGTTACAATATAAATATATAATATTTGAAGCCACGAGAGTGAATGGCTCTCCCAAGAGAGAACAGGTAGACTAAGGTGAGAAAAGAACAAAGGGCAAAACCTTTGTGAGTACAAACATATAAAGGAAAGAAAAGAGCCTTTCAAGTGACTAAGAATTTGTGGGGTAAGAATGAGAAAATCCAAAAAAGAATGGTACCAGGAAGAGAAGGGAAGGGATCAACAGAGACCAATGCTGTAAAACGAGGACAGGGAAGAGGGGGAATTGATGATGGGAAGGTCATGGGGTGGCAGACATAGAAGCCTCATTTTTGTGGCTAAAAAGTGAGTAAGAAACAAAAAGGGGGAATAAGAGGTAAAGGAATGTGGCCTGGGTGTATAAAGAATAAAGAGTTTTCTCTGAAGGGAAGCAGAGATAAGGTACGTGTGAACTGGCTCGGTTTTTTATGTGAAAGACCTACAAGGAGGTCTACTGGATGCAGGGGAAGGAGCCAATGCACAGGGAGACACGGTAACAAGGAAAGCAATGTCCTGGTTTTAAACCAAAAGCAAAGAACAGGAACAAAGTCAAGAACAGATGGAGACCAATCTGGCACAGAAGGATACCCTCCATTGTAGCCCAGAGAAAGGAGATATTGATAAGGGCATACAAACATGTGTTTGCATGCGTAGAAGCAGGATACGTGGGGAATTCATATTTGCAAAGTTCCATTATTCTTAGTGAAGTAGGATGCAAGGTCTTCTCTTGAGAGAAAAGAGGGCAGGGGCAAAGCACAGGGCTTGATGAGACTGGTGAAGGCTCGCAATAGCTATCATGAAACAATGAAGAAAGGATCCCAAGTAACACGAAGAGAACAGCTGTGGTTAGAAAAATATATGCGCAGTATCAATTTACAACACAAATGCTCTCTGCTCAATTTCCTAAGGACCAGAGAAGATGGAAGCTTAGACTGATCTAAAGTTGGGAAACTGGAGGCAGGAAACTCTGAAAGAAAATAAAGAGCAAAAATTTTGAAAGAAATGGCAGAAGAAAGCAGTGACGCACCCTGAGGAAAAGGAAAGAAAAGCCACTAAGGGCTGGTAGAATGGTGTGGCGGGGAGTAAAGCACTGGATAAAAACATTTTATTTATTTTTTTTAAATATTTTATTGATTTTTTACAGAGAGGAAGGGAGAGGGAAAGAAAGTTAGAAACATCGATGAGAGAGAAGCATCGATCAGCTGCCTCCTGCACACCCCCCACTGGGGATGTGCCTGCAACCCAGGTACATGCCCTTGACTGGAATCAAACCCGGGACCCTTCAGTCCGCAGGCCGACCCTCTATCCACTGAGCCAAACCAGTCAGGGCTAAAAACATTTTAATATCAAGAAATTAGAAAAATCTATAAATTTATAAATGAAATATTTACATAAACTTATCTACCCTTTTCTTTTTTATCTTTTTCTTCCTCTTGAATAATAAACTCAGGCTTATTTTCTCCTCCGCTATGAAACACTGGCTTTTGAAGCCCATTAATTATTGGTGTTTAACCATTTTTCTTGCTTGAGTTAGATGAAGAATTTATCCAGGGATTAAAAAAAAAAGGTATCTTCATATAATCAAAGAACTTACTCTTTACGTAGAGAACTGACAAAATAAAATAATAGAATGAGAAATACCTAATTCACATGGCAGGTTGTGTGATGTAAGCAAAAGAGCAATAAAAATCCAAATTAGGAAGATAATCTTTTGTGAAAATTTTAAAATAAAGTTTATTCTTTCACAATAAATAAGATATATATTAGTGTAAAGGATGTGGATAGGGGCAGTAGGAATAGCAAAGCTATATAAGCATTGATATGCAGAAGAATCTGACTGTGCCCCTAGCCGGTTTGGCTCAGTGGATGGAGCGTCAGCCTGCGGACCAAAGGGCCCCAGTTTCAATTCCGGTGAAGGGAATGTACCTTGCTTGCAGGCTCCTTCTTGGCCTGGGCTCTGGTCAGGGTTCGTGCAGGAGGCAACCAATCGATGTGTTTTTCTCACATCGATGTTTCTCTTCCACTCTCCCTACAAATCAATGGAAAAATATCCTCTGGTGAGGATTAACAAAATTAAATAAAATAAAAAAGAATCTGACTGTAAAAGATTCATCTTAATCACTAATTAGAGCTAAAATTTAGATAGAGAAATTAGGGCCAGATTATAAGTTATCTAGGCTATAATAGCTCAGTCTGAGGATAATCAGAGAAGAAACACAGGGTGGGGTGAGTTGTAAAATAATAAAACAATATTTTATAAAATTTTCTTCCTACTAAAATGTGTAAGTGACAATTAAATGACTGATACACTAGAGAAAAAATGAGCAGTATATTATTGCAGTATAACATATTAGGACATAAACTCTAGTATAAATTGAAGAACTGCCTTTGGTAAGAAACAGCATGATGATACATTAATTTCAAATGTAGATAGGTTATAAAAAACCATCATTATGGTATATATTTTAAATTTGTGAAAATATTTTACATTAGCAAAAGTGATCGAATTTTACCATGCTACTAATAATTGTTAAAAAAAATAAGTTACTACTAAGCTATTTTAAACTGTACCATTTTTTAAAGTACAGAACAAAGAAAACTATACTTACCACAATGCTTTGACTGTCCCACAATCTCATCGGTTTTCATAGTCTCACACAACTCAAAGTACTGAACGCACTGCTGAACTGCCGCAGTTACCTAATAAAATAATAACTTATTATTATAGAAACTAGAGGGCCCGGTGCACAAAAATTTGTGCACTGGGGGGGGGGAGGGGGTCCCTCACCCCGGCCTGTGTCCTCTCGCAGTCTGGGACCCCTCAGGAGATAACGACCTGCTGGCTTAGGCCTGCTCCTGGTTGGCAGAGGGCAGGCCCAATCCCTAGGTGCAGCCCCTGGTGGGGCTTAGAGCAGGGCTGATTGGGGAGTTGGGGCCCCGCCTCCTGTCATGCACAGAGCAGGGCGGATCGGGAGGTTGCGATGCCACCCTCAGTCACGCTCAGGGTGGGGCCGATTGGGGGGTTGGGGCACCGCCCCCTGTCACACTCAAGGCAGGGTCGATAGGGAGGTTGTGGCGCCACCCCGTCACACACAGAGCTGCAGGGCGATCAGGGGGTTTGGGCACTGCCCCCTGTCACGCTGATCTGGTGCCAAGAGGCCTCGCGGCTCCGCTAATCCCGGTGCTGGGAGGCATATTACCCTTTTACTATATAGGATAGAGGCCTGGGGGCCGGCTGGTTTGCCCTGAAGGGTGTCCTGAATCAGGGTGGGGGTCCCCACTGGGGTGCCTGGCCAGCCTGGATGAGGGAATGATGACTGTTTGCAGCTGGTCACACACCCTTCAGGGTGGGGGTCCCCACTGGGGTGCCTGGCCAGTCTGGGTGAGGAGCTGAGGGCTGCTTTCAGGCTGGCAGTTATTGACTGAAGCTCCCAACTGCTCCTTTTTTTTCTCCTTTTTTTTATTTTATTCTGGGCCAGCTTTAGCTCTGGCTCTGGCTCTGAGGCTTCGTATCTGGTTTGTTTGCCGTTCTATAATCGAAACAATGTATAACTTCAGTTCTGAGATCCCGGCAGGCTGAAAGCTAGTTTCTGGGGTTTTGTTTAGCTACTACATTTGCAACATAGTACATAGTTGCTTAGAGTTGCAACTCAGAGGCCTGCAAGTCAGGCGGGGAACGTTGGAGTCTGCAGTCACTGGAGCAAGCAAGCCTCATGTTCGCTTCCAGCTGCCTTGCTGCCGGCCGCCATCTTGGCTGACAGTTAATTTGCATAAGGATATGCTGATTAGCCAATGGGAAGGGTAGCGGTCGTACGCTAATTACCATGTTTCTCTTTTATTAGTGTAGATGTGCAGCCTACAAGTCCTGGTATGTGCTAGGCAGAGGGTGCCAACGTAACCAACCCCAGTTTTAAAAACTGGGCAGAGTCTTTAATGAGTTTCTTTGGTAGACAACATTTCATATGAGCTGTCACAATTTGGTACAGGGAAAAGGACATGGAAGCTTATGCTTGGTATCCTCCAGGCTTCACCAAATGAGCCTTTTCCCTGTGCCAATTTTGCTTTGTATCCTCTTTCTGTTATAAATCATAGCTGGGATTATGACTATATGCTGAGTCCTATGAGTCTTCCCAGAAAATCATCAAATCTGGGGGTGGTCATGGGGATCCCTTCCCATATTTTTCTATCTCCTCTAAATCAAACTTTAGAGTTTCAGATCAATAATATAAAACTGCCTCCTAAAAATCTGAATTTCAAATTAGGTATGATCAAATCTAAAATCTTTCCAACTCCCCTATTTTTCTCTTACTTTGTTACTTATCTCCATGAATGACATTAGTCACTCAATTAAGTCTTCACTCACCCCCCATTTAAAAAGCCAAGTTCTTTAAATCCTGCATTCTAAATATGGTACTCCTGAGTCCATCCATCCATCCCAATTCACTCTGTTAAGAGCCCTAACTCATGTTTTTATCATTTTTTGCTTGGATTACTGAGAAGATCTTCTTAATCTTTTTGCTTCAACACTTCTCCCCTATCTCCACTTAGCACCTTAAACCCATTTTCCAAATATTCCAAGGCCTTACTATGATGTTACTTCAGTACTTAAAAACCTACCAGTGGCTCACCACACCTTCAGAATAAATGCCAATATCCTAAAGTTGACCTTATACAAAAACTCTTCATGACCTGACAGTCTTATACCTCTTATCCTCCAGATATCCCCCTGTCCTAATCACATGCTTGCACAAATACAGAAGTTCATCTACCTGTGCAAAAATCAGTCACCAAAAGCCAATTCAACAACCAAATAACTAATTCATCAAAAGCAAATTCACTGGGAAATTTCACCAATCAAAATAGCCAATTAGATTTGAAACACACTCAAACCTGACGTTTACATTAAACTCAACACTGTCATTTGCAAAAGGGAAGGAGCTGAAGATTTCCTTTAACAATGTCTTTTCTATTTTTATGGAATTATGCTCTGCCCTATGCATGTGTGAAATAAACTGAAGTTAATTGATACATACCCAACTTAAAGCATCCAAGAACGTTTTAAACACCTTTACCCACTTAATATTAGCTTTCAGAGAACTGATTTTCAAGAAATTTTCCTAATACCAATTCACATTTCTCTTAGCAATGTATGTCCAGTTATATAAAATATATGCAGTTTCCATACGTACTATGTGTTTTCCAAATCCTAAGCCTTTAAACATGCTACCACATTGCCCTGAAATATTTTCCCACCACTACCAAAAGCACCCCCCTCACTTTTCCAGGATAATACCTATTCATTAAGAATAAAAAAATTCCCCACCATCCTCAGAAAAAGTGTAATTTGTTTTATAGATGACTTCAATCTACTTAATAAATCAATGATAAAACTATACAACCATGGTAACAGGTATCCAGCAGACCAAGTTTAAAATTTTGTAAATCAATATAAGTCAAAAGATCTCAATGAACGTACTTCTGAAAGCCGAGCAATTAGTGTTAGCCCCTTGCTTCTGAAAATCAGCCAATAACAGACACACTCCAGGAAACACATTTGTAAAAGCCAGTCAGTCAGCAACAATCTCACCTGAGGTCTCTTCTACAATTGGCTGAACTCATTCTCCTCTCCGAAAGCCCATCACTCCCTGAGTTCCAAGCTTTTCCCCAAACCCTATCTGATGAAGAATCTGCTTTGCCTAACTTAAGCAACACATTCAGCTTTAAGCACTGTTTCAGATGGAACAATGGTCTTAATCCTGGAACTTCCATTAAAATTACCTTGAAGACTCTGACTTGGCAACATTCAGTGAGAACTTCAGAGAGTTGTTCACTGAGCCCCCTTGAGTCCCAAACTCTCAAAGCCCTTCAGATCTGCCATCATGTGAGTCTGTGTCAACAATAACCTGAGCTCCAACTTGCTTCATGGGCATTCATTGCAAAATTTGTTATCCTACGATTTGTAATGAAATTTGTACAAAGTAACTTCTTGTTCTGAAGAGGCACCATTGGGTAAAAATTTGTGCTACTAACCTGCTTATTCTTGGCTTGTTTTGCTTTGCTATTTTTACAGTCTTAACTCCTGTTTTATTCTGGTTTGTCCTGCATCTACTGAGTATCCCATAGTGAACAGGAGGCATAGTCCAATCCAATCAATCAATGCAAGCCGACTCTGAGATTACCAGCTAACAGCAAAAATACAGTGCAAAGGCAACTGGTCAAACTGCCTTGAACACCTACAAAAATTTTATGAGGACATTCCCTGGCTTGTCAATTCATGAAAGAGGGCAGTCAATGATTGTCATATCAATGACCGTATCACCCCTTTCTAGCTTCCGCTTGGTCAGAACCCGAGATAAATTTATAAGCACACGCTACTGCCCCAAAAATTCAGTGACCTGTTTATGTTTGTCATGAGTTTCTGTAAGTCAAAGCTGAAACCTTATCCTGATAGAACTCCCTCTTTCTAGATAAACTTGCTCCTGCAAGCCTACTTCTTAGTCATACCTTGGTAAAAAGCAATAACAACAAATATGGCTTATAGTGACAAGTGCCGTTATGGAAAAATAAATACACTTAACAGAAGTCCTAAAGAATAAGGACACAAAAGAGCAAATAGTCAGCTTCCTTAACTGTGAACTTGAAACACTATCTCCAAAATAACCTCTCAAAGACTCTTCAGTTCATTTCCATTCAAACCTTCAGAAACCCATCTCCTTGCACCCATCTCTACCCAGCTTCACCTTTACAACCCACTTACACCCACTTCTGTTCCTACTACTCCTTTCCTCACTTCTTAAGTGTGCCACATTTTATTTGAGAAAAGGTAACAATCACAGGAAAAGGTACAATCTCAGCAGAGAAACAAACACATCATATAATATCCCCTTTAAATTACAGGAGCAGAAAGCAGATCTAGAGTCAGTAAATTTAAAACTAATCTACAGAGTCCAGTTAAAAGTATAAAGAATTATTTTCCTAAACCTCAGGAAGATAGATAGAAATTTGCTGTAAAATTCAGGATCTAATTTGATACTCATTCTACTGCACAATCAATATATACCAAGACAAGAGGAGAGTGTGTGTACTATGGTAGGAAAATATACTATGATAGGAAAAACAAAGAGAATTTAAATAACCTAGTTGTCAATATTTTTTAATGACTTTGAGAGGACAAGAAAAATAGGAAATGCACTAAATAAAGCCATTTCAGAAGTCGTTCATTTAAGGGTGGGTGGACAAAGATTCAAGTTGTCAAAAATAAAAGGTTAAATGTTTATGCTGATAGCCAAATGCTTTTCAAATATTTCATGACTTTGCAATGGAAATAAAGCCCTCAATTTCCTCAGATATCTCCTTTAAAAAATGACAACACAGCCCGGCCAGCATGATCAGTGGTTGAGCATGGACCTATGAACCAGGAGGTCACCTTTGGATTCCGGTCAGGGCACATGCCTGATTGCAGGCTCAATCCCCAGTGTGGGGCAAGCAGGAGGCAGCAGATCAATGATTCTCTCTCACCATTAATGTTTCTATATCTCTCTTCCTCTCCCTTCCTCTCTAAAATCAATAAAAATATTTTTTTTAAAAAATGACCGCACATACACATAAATTATTTATTGTCTAATGCTACCAACTGAAAATGTCATAACTATAACAAATAGGATCACACAGAGTAGCCACAAACCAGATATTAGTTATAAAATGAAATGAAAGAAAATTAAAAACTCAGTTTCTCAGTTTCCCTAGCTAGTGGCTCCCCTATTAGACAATGCAGACATTCTATTGTTGCAGAAAATGTTATCAGGAAGCACTGAAGAGAAGCCAAAATAAAGGCTGTAGCAGGTAACCAGGCTAAATAGGCTGCTATGACTAAAGTCCTTATGACAGGAACTCTTATAGAACAAAAGACAAATCCATGGAGTGGTCCAAAGTTTCCACTGTAGATGCACAAAATCTGATCAATTCTGAAAGGAAAATGGGAACAAATAGATCTTGCATCCATTTTTCCCAATGTTTTTTACAAAAGTTGGGCCAACTTCTCTTTAATATATATATACAAAATACTTTTATATTTTATAAATTTAGGAAAGTTTTTTAAGAGAAATAAAGTTTAAGTTGAAATCTCATGTAAGTTTGACCCATTATGTATAGGAAATAAAATATTTGACCAAGTCGATAAAATAGTAAATGTTTATAATAAACTATTTGCAGGCTAAAAATTGGTGATGGCATAATTAACTTTTCAAGCAACAAACAGATTTAAAACTTAATATATAAAATACATATTTGAAATACTCCCATCAGCACCTCTGTGTTAGCAACAGTGAGTTATTTGTATGCCAAACCATAGGGGTAAAATAATCATTCCATTCTTTGTTTTTTCTCCTTTCTCTATTCTAACAAGATCAATCTATGATCATATGGTAACAACAAATTTTCACTTAAAATGGGAATGGGAAAGAAATGAGATGTGGAAAGACTTTATTTCAATTCAGTTTGTCTAAAGATTTTGAAGTACCTATTACCTCTACAAATAAATTC